GTAGAAAGAATGAATTAGGAAAGAGTGACAAAGCAAATATATCTGGCAGATGTGAACGGCCGAGTCGGGAAGGGACGCCCTAGAAAAAAGTTTATCGACCAAATTGACGATATTTTGAAAATGGGCCACGTTAGAAGTACCCTTAACCGACGAGCATGTATGCGTAGTAATATGGATGTAAAGGAGGCGAAAGAGGTATGTCGGGATCGTGCCAAATGGAAGTTCCGTAGTCTCTGCCTACCTCTCTGGGTGACAGGCGTGAGTGTTTATGTTTTTTTTTTTTAGATAGTGGAAGATCAGTAAAGGGATCAATGTATGCTGCTACTTTAAAAAATCAAGTATTCACATCTTATTGGGGTATAGGTTATAGAAACTCTCGCACAGCGATACCCATGTTCGCATCATTCGCCTAACTAATGGTAAAATAATATACCATTCCGAAACAACCTATTCAAGTTTACAGATGAACATGGGCCTCCTCATCATAGATTGCTTCGTAAGGAGATTTTGCCACAGTTTTTTCGCTTCGCAGGAGGGTTGGCAACAGCAGTTCATTTTTAGTTATTCCGATACGGGGTAGTGGATATTTTACTCCGCCTTTACACGGTACACGGTACGGTAAATAGAATATAGTGAATGAAAATCCTCATTTACATGTTTTGGTTTGCATTATAATTAATCTTATCATGTGTCACCCTCATTTCTGATTCCAAGTTTTATTATAGTAGTTACAGCGATTGCTATAATTTTTTTGTTTGTGTGCGGCTCGCTGTATATGGTTTACATTTTTTTGAGGATATTTATTTCACACAATCAAATCTAGAACTTATAGAACTTTATCCCTGGAACTGGCACTGTTTGGCTAAAAAACTATACTTTGCCAACCTGTTAATATCCATCAACTACTTGATGAGCAATTAACGTGTGTTACTTGTGACCTATCCAAAGCCTTCGATTGTGTTCACCATGAAACATTAATCAGGAAACTTCAAACACTACGGTGTAAGAAGCGATGCTCTTAAATTAATTATTTCATATTTAAGTGACAGAAAGCAAAAGGTTGTCATTAATAGTATGAGTTCTTCCGGGTCGATTGTACAAATGGGTGTGCCTCAGAGCTCAGTTCTCGTACCTTCTTTCCGTTACTTGTATATATTAATGCCTTACCTTACATAGTAGAGGATAACCATGATATAGTAATATTTGCTGATGATACTTCATTAATTTTTAAATTAAAACGACAGTTATTAAATTACGACGAAGTAAATAATGCTATAGCCAAGTTAGTCAATTGGTTTAATGTTAATAATTTGCATTTAAATGGAACTAAAACTAAATAATAAATAAATCATTTTTTTCTCTTCACAAAGGTATACAATTTCACATTATTTCTTAAATAATACGGTTGTAGATAATTTTGACCTTTGTGAGAGACTGGTGTCCATACTAGGGTAATCCCTGTGTTATAGATCACCAGGCCCTCACCCTAACGGATAGCACGTATTACATTTTCAAAAATACTACAAGAGAAATACAAGAATAATAAATATTTCAACAAGGAAAGATTCTATATGTTTTTTTAAAGTTATTTCTATATGTGTAAAGTGTGTAGTGTACGTGCGTGTGTGCGTGTGTGTGTGTGTGTGGGGTGTGTGTGTGTGTGTGTGTGTGTGTGTGTGTGTGTGTGTGTGTTGTGGTTGTGTATGTGTTTTTAGGATTAATACTCTTAGTAAATTTTCAGCAGCCATATAATCGATATTTAGCAACCACTTCTGTAATTTTTGTTTACATGCATGTTTTGCTAGAGAGTAAATTGACAAAAGTTTATTTAATTTGTTATAAAGGTAACCTCTAAAGAAGCAAAAATGCTTATGCGAAAAATGTTGTCTTTAGAAGCTTACTGGGGCTAACTACATATTTCCTTCTTTTGTCATTATTATAGGAGGCTATATAAGAGAATGTTGTAGCAGCGTAGTGTGCAATATAAACTATTTACGAACAGATAAGACATTACAATGTTGATAAAGGTCAGTTGTAGGACAACGGAATGGAAGAGAATTGCTAACTTTTAATGGTGCCCTCTGAGCCCTTTCTAATTGCAATATGGTCATTTTAGGTGCTCCTCCCCAGATGGTAATGCAATATGTCAACAATGATTGGCACAGTGCAAAATATTTCATTTTTCTTACATTAAAATCTGCAACAAAACGTAGATTTTTAAAAATAAAAATTAACTTACGTATCCTTGTACTTAAGAGGCCAATACGAAGGTGAAAGCTTAGGGTGTTGTCTATCATTACGCCAAGATATTTTATGCAATTTGTTCTAGACAGGGTAGGACAGGAGCAAGGGCTTTCAATTTGGGAGCAGCAGTGAGCTGTAATGAACTGAATGTATTCTAACTCAGATACATTGATGTTTTGGGTAGTAAATGCTACGTATTTTGTTTTATCGACATTTAATGTAAGTTTAGATTCTTTTAGCCATTTAGTTATTAAATCGAACCCATTTTGTCCGAAGTTAAATACCTCAGACCATGTATCTGCCTGGAAAAGAAGAGCCGTGTCATCCGCAAAGACAATGATCCTCCCATTGTGAAATTTTAGATTACATAGTGTGTTAATATATATAAGAAATAGCGTGGGACCAAGCACATATCACTGTAGCAACCACCAATCCTTACCCCCTGATATCGATCCGTTAAGTAGTCAGAGAAAAGTTTCAGCTGTGTATTTCTTATTCCAAGATCTTCTAGTCTATTCAACAAGAGCGGGACGTAAACTGTGTCAAACGCTTTAGCTAGATCAAGGAATATAACAACTACTTTCTTTTTATGGTCAAGCTTTGTAACCAACGAAATCTGTTAGTTCATGAACTGCATCCTGAGTTGAACGGTTTCTAAGAAGTTGATACCACCATTTTTCTTGGAATCACACTAGACGTAAAGCTTCAATGGCTCCCCCATATACCAAAACTATAAAACATTTTGTTTCCAGCCGTTCTGTGAGTTCCCTTTTAAAAATAACGAAGGGTAGGTATTTGAAAGTGTTAGGCAATTTATTGTAAACTCTAATGGCATTTATAAATACATTTCTTTTATATATATCGGCGCAACAACAATAGTTCGTCGATTATAATAAGGATTAATCATTAATTACACTGTTTAATAATTTGATTGTGTTAAAAATAGTTCATAAGCCTTTAGTTAATCACTGTTTGATTATTGCAATGTAAATATCTGGTGATTCACATAATTCGGTACCACTTGAACCGATGAATACGTGTCCGCCGCGTGATGATTCACACCGGTGAGCACGTGTCCGCCGCGCGATGATTCACATAATTCAATACTTAACCTAAACCGGTGAACACGTGTCCGCCACGCTATAAATACGGCCGCACAAAGCGTGCTAGAGCAGTTTCGCTCGGGCGGTCGTACAGTGTACACTTATCTTAAGTACGTCGTTACGCTGTTGGTCGAATAAACGAGGCTTTCAGTATACTTGTAGTGTTTTCATTGAAGTGTTTAAATTGAAAATAAGTGATCACCATGGAGGTAACATTGCGCTGCAACTGCAAATACAGCTGCGCTGACGTCACTAACACACTTTTTAAAAACACAAAGGAGCTCGGTCCTCCGTTATATATATCATCAAGTTGAAGACTTGATTGTAAGTTATATATAAAAGTCTGCATTGAGGCAGATATAGCTTATATCTATTATCTATAATCTCTAAATTGTTACATTTTGGTTTTAAAGTTTTTTATAGATTGTTACTTTTGAGCCATCTAAAGATTTTGTCGAGTGTAATAGATATTTTACTTTCATAGAATGTTCTATTCTTACACTTAATAATTACAGTTCATCGTGTTGTCTCTCCATCTCTCAAACTGAACTCATCAGCAAATTAAATGCTAATCATTTCTACACAGTCGGTTATGCAGATGATCTGACAATACTGGTCTCTGGAAAGACAGCAAGCATTGTGTGCGACCTGAACCAAGCAGCTCTCCGTATTGTGGAGAGATGGTGCTGGAATATGACATAACCGTTAATCCAAACAAAACGGTTCTAGTAATGTTCACACAAAAACGAATGCTGGATAACTATCATCTCCCAAGTCTTTTCAGCACAAAACTCCAGCTATCCTCCGAGGTAAAATAAGGTGGCTGTAAAGCTTTTTTTATGGTGTCGTGTCTTAGAAATACGTGTGATGATTTACGTAGGTCTTTGTGTACGAAAACTTTTGTTGAACCATGTCGTGTTACCGTTGTCGGCTTTAAGTTTTGAATATAGTGTCGTAATCGTGATAGGAAGTCATTATAATCTACGACTGCTGTGGAAGTAGAGTCGAAAAAATCGCCTGGTAGTCTTATAGCTTCGCCATATACAAGCTCTGCCGACGAGGATGCGATATCTTCTTTCCATGAACTCCGTATTCCGAGTAGAATTAATGGAAGGATTTCATACCAACTTTGCTCAGCATGACACATGATGGCTGCTTTCAGCTGCCGGTGAAACCGCTCTACGAGTCCGTTTGCTGCCGGGTGATAAGCAGTGGTGGTGATGTGATGTGTGCCTGTTAATTTGGAAAGTTCTTTAAAAAGGTAACACTCAAATTGCCTGCCTCTATCCGTAGTTATTTTCAGCGGGCAACCAAATCGTGATATCCAACCTCTGACGAATGCATTGGCTACTGTTTCAGCTTTTATGTCTTCGAGTGGTATCACTTCCGGCCATCGTGTAAACCGGTCAACAACGGTTAAGCAATACCGATATCCTTTGGAGATATGCAGAGGTCCGATAAGATCCACATGCACGTGAGCGAATCTGCTGGTTGGTGAAGTAAAAGCATGTACTGGAGATCGTGTATGCCGTGCTACGTTTGAGAGTTGGCAATCAACACAGGTACGTGCCCATTGTCGACAGTCTTTTCGAATATTAGGCCATACGTATCTTGCTGTCATCAGCTTAATCATGACTCTCGCACTTGGGTGACTCAGGCCGTGAATCGTATCGAAGGCTTGTCGTCGTAACGTTTTAGGTAAGTATAACCGTGGGGCGTACCTGATACATCATAGTAGAGTTTCGTTCCGGTGCCAGATAGGTCTAACTGCCTAAGCTTCAAGGATGTATGATGGCGAAGATGCGGAAGTTCGTCGTCTGTCTCCTGTGCTGCACATACATCCTCTAAGTTGACTGCACTGCTTATGATGTCTACTCGAGATAAGGCATCTGCAACGACGTTGTTCTCTCCTGAAATGTAGCGAATGTCTGTTGTAAATTGGGCGATATAATCTAGGTATCGAAATTGCCTAGGTGAGCAGTTGTTCGAATTTTTCTTAAAGGCGGAGATGATGGGTTTATGATCGGTAAACACAGTGAATGGCTTAAGTTCGACCATATACCTAAAATATTTTATACTCTCGTATATTGCTAGCAACTCTCTATCGTAGGGGCTGTATTTACGTTGAGCGTTGTTCAGTTTCTTTGAGAAAAATCCTAGAGGAATCCATTCTGCACCAGATTTCTGCTGCAGCACTGCGCCTATAGCACTGTCGGAGGCATCTGTGACTATGGCTAAGCGTGCTCGTGGGTCAGGGTGTGCTAACAGAGTCGCTTTAACTATGCTTTCTTTACTTTCCTCAAATGATTTTTCTAGTTCGGTTGTCCAATTGATTGGTGTGGTGGCCTTCAGAGACATCCCTGAGAGGAGGCAATTTAAAGGTGCCTGTACTCTAGCTGCGTTAGGTACAAATCGGCGGTAGAAGTTCAACACGCCAAGATATCTGCGGAGTTCTTTTATGTTCTTCGGAAGTGGATAATTCAAAATGGCACTGACCTTATCTGGTGTTGGCTTCGTTCCTTCGACGGTTACAATAAAGCCCAAGAACTCCACTTCAGGTGCTCCAAAATTAATTTTGAGCTGTTGATTAGCACACCATATTCCTTGAGGCGCTCGAAGACAGATCGTAAGTGTCGCTCGTGATCTTCTATGTTTTTAGATGCTACTAAAATGTCATCAAGATAAGGAAATGCAAAATCACAACCTCTTAGAATTTCGTCCATAAAACGTTGGAATGTTTGTGCCGAATTGCACATCCCAAAGCCCATATAAGGAAACTCGAACAGACCAAACGGAGTTGCAATGGCAGTTTTAGGTACATCCTCAGGTGCTACTGGTATTTGGTTATAAGCACGTACCAGATCTATTTTGCTGAAGATGGTGCAGCCAAAGAGATTGTGTGAGAAATCTCCGATGTGTCGAATTGGATAGCGGTCGGGTATCGTGCGTGCATTTAACGCCCGATAGTCACCGCATGGACGCCACGTGTTGTCCTTCTTTGGGATGAGATGCAGAGGTGACGACCACGAGCTGTCGGAGGGTCTAGCAATACCTAATCTTACCATCTCTTCAAACTCTTCTTTTGCGATGCGCAGACGGTCAGGTGCTAGTCGGCGTGGACGGCAGGTGACAGGTGGTCCAGACGTGGTGCGGATGTAGTGCACGGTGTTGTGTTTCACCTCACGCGCAGCGTGACAGCCTGCTGGGCGCGTGATCTCCGGGTACTGTGTTAGCAGATCATAGAAGCGTGAAATGCCTGTAAATGTTTTGATTTGGTATAAAACGGGTAATGCAACAGGAGATGCTTTAGCGACGAGAGAGGTTGCCTAGCATCCACAAGTAAATTATAAAACGATAAAAAGTCTATTCCTATAATTGGTTTCATAACATTAGCTATTACAAAACGCCAATTAAAAGTACGACGTAGTCCGAAGTCCAGCACTAAATTCACCCAGCCGTAAGTAGCAATGGTAGACCCATTTGCTGCAAAAATTTCATAGTTAGTCTTTAAAAGGCGCTTACTGCGTAGCATGCCAAGCGGATATACACACAGATCTGACCCGGTGTCCACTAAATAACACACTTTCGTCTTAATGTCCGTAACAAACAAGCGGCCGGAAGTATGGCAGTCGTTAGCCGCCGTCACTGACTGCCTTTGGTGTTTCCCGGTTGAGGACCGGAGAACTTACACGGCGATCTACACTTGTTAGCGGAGCTTCCGAACTTCCAGGGATACCAGCACTGGTCGTGGGTGGAGGCAGGACGGCTACGTGAACGTTTACGGTAACTAGAAGTACGCCTTCGTGATCTTAAACGCGCACGATGTATAGTCAGTGAAGCTACTTGACGAGATAGGTCATCTAAGCGACGTCTCAAATCGTCAAACTCAAATGGCGCTGCGATCGTCGATGTTGAAGCCACGTGTTGCACCTGCAGCGGGAACATGACCTCGTTGAACTTGTGCGCCAATTGTGCCACGGCGTCTAAACTGGTACCTGTCTGCGTTGCAATAATAGCCTGGATGTGGTTAGGCAATCGGTTTGTCCAAAGTGATCTTAGGAATTCGTCTGGAACGTCGTTACCCGCTAAATTTCTTAGATGCCGTAAGAACTGGGACGGTTTCCGGTCTCCCAGTTCTTCGTGCGCCAATAGTTGTCTAACCCGTTGTTCTTGGGATGCTGATAATCTGGTTATAAGCTCGGTCTTAATTTTTTCATATTTGTTTTCAGACGGCGGGTTAGTAATTACGTCTTTCACCTCCGTTACATATCTATAGTCTAAATTGGAGATCACATGATTGAACTTCGTATTATCTGCAGTAATATTTGCCAGTTGAAATTGTCCTTCTAATTGTGCGAACCACAACGCCGGTTCGTTCGTCTGGCCGGACGAACCAAAACTAACGATGCTACAACTATACGAAAGCTACAGCGTTACCAGAGATTGGCTTGTATGGCTGCCACGGGCTGCATAAGAACTACACCAACAGCAGCTTTAGAGGCTATACTGGAGCTAACACCGTTTCATCTACATATACAGCAAGAAGAAGAAAGGCCGTGTAGTGGCGGTTGAGAATATCCACTACCCCATATCTTACCGTGGGTGTCGTAAGAGGCGACAGAGGGAGACAGGCAGGAGATGGGCAGCAGCATCTTCCTGATAACAACAATAATATAATAAAAAACTGCGGTTGCCAACCCGCTCGCCAAGCGTGGCAACTATGGCAAATATACATGAGCAACGACGTAAGCAAACTGCTCCCAGTCCCCGGCGGCCCCGCCATTCCTGGCTATGGTGGCGACCATGGTAACTGATACTCAGGATCACCAAACGGTATTCACGTACAGGTTTACGCACCAACCTCGGCACATGCCGATGAGGAGGTGGAGGAAATGTATGAGGATATTTCTAGAGCCAAACATTCCTCCAAAACCCACTATACGGTGTTGATGGGAGACTTCAACGCAAAACTAGGCACAAGAGAAAGCGGTGAACTTAAGTTAGGGAAATTTGAAGTAGGCCAACGGACCAACCCTAGGAGCCAGCAGCTGGCCGACTTTATGGAGAAAGAGGGACCCCTTATGATTAACTCTTTCTTCCAGAAGCGGCCCACAGGAAGTGGACCTGGTCGAGCCCCGACGGTTCGAATAAATATAAGATTGACTTCATTATGACGACCAGACGCCAACTGTTCAGTTATGTGCTCGGTGATCTCGAGGGTGAAAACTAGCGGCGATCACCGAATGTTTAGAGGCACACTGAACTTAAACGTTAAGATGGAGAGGTCTCGTCTAGTGAAGTCAACGCTCCGTCACCCTCGTGCGCTAATTCAAGGTCCCGAAAACTTTCAGCTCGAATTAAAAAACCGATTTCAGTGCCTAGAAGATTGCAATACAGTGGACGATATGAATGACAAGCTCGTGGAAACTGTCTATGTGGTCGGAGCTAAGTTCTTCAAGACGCGCCGCAGAAGAACACAAAAACTCTCCGATCACACTCTTAATCTCATGGATGTTAGACAGGCGACGAAGCTGCAGTCGTCAGCAGATTTGACAGCACACAGGCAACTGAACAGATCTCCAAATGCATGCGGCAGGACTTAAGCAACTTCAATACAGCTCGCGTATTGAAGAAGCGATTGAGCGGAACCAGGGCTCCAAAGTCTTTGCTAGAGATCTGTCTGCCAGTAAGAGCCAACTGTCAAAGCTGAAGACTGAGTGTGGCAGCATCGTTTCTGGGACACCTGAGATTCTGAGTGAGATTGAGCGGTTCTATGGGCAGCTTTATACATCATCGTTGGAGCCACATGCAAGTGTGAGTAACGATCCAAGAGCAAGTCTTATACGACACTATTCCGATGATATCCCGGACATCAGTCTGAGCTAGATTAGAATGGCCCTCCAGCATCTTAAAAACGGCAAGTCCCCGGGCGAGGATGGAATTACAGCGGAGCTTCTGAAAGCAAGTGGACAATCGGTACTTGAAGTCCTTCAAAAGATCTTTAATTCCATCCTCCATGGAGGAACTACTCCCGAGGCATGGAGCAGAAGTGCGGTGGTCTTGTTCTTCAAGAAAGGTGACAACGCCCTCTTAAAGAACTACAGACCGATATTCCTTCTGAGCCGCGTCTATGTGCTGTTTTCGAGAGTTATTACGAATCGTCTCGCACGCAGACTCTACGACTTCCAGCCTCCCGAACAAGCCGGTTTCCGAAAAAGGCTTTAGTACCATAGACCACTTACATACCCTTCGACTAATTGTACAGAAGACGGAAGAAAACAATCTGCCACTTTGCATTGCGTAACTGGACTATGAGAAAGCCTTTTATTTCTTTGAAATTTGGGCGCTGCTACAGTCTCTTCAGCGGTGCCAAGTTGATTATCGGTATATGGAAGTGCTGAAGTGTTTGTACAGTAGGGCTACGATGGCTATCCGAGTACAGAACCAGAGTACGAAACCTATCCAACTGCAGAGAGGTGTAAGACAGGGTGACGTTATATCCCCGAAACTCTTCACCGCTGCATTGGAAGACGATTGAGATTGGAAACGGAGGGTGTCCGTACCCGAAGTCAACGCCAGCAGGAGACGGACCAAAGAAGATTTGGTGGTGCAACGCCGCAGACGTCGGAGGGCCAGCCGCGTTGAAAGAGCAGCTGCGGGGCGGACAGGATGAACAGACCCGCCGACAAGAGGAACAGGCACGTCGGTTGTAAGAGCAGATGCTCCTTATGAAGGACCTTCACGCTACCTTCGGGAAGGAGATGAAGGAAGTGAAGGATAGGGTTGCTCAACATGACAACCGCCTGTCAGAAGCTGAAACCCGAATTGAGAAATCTGAAACCCGAATCGATCAAGTGAACAATCGGGTTGACAACGTGATGGCTGACGTGAAGTAAACGCTGGACGTCTTCAAACTTGGGGATGGAACAACAGCTCCCGTAGTAGCTACTACACCTTCGCTACGTGGGTTCAAAGTGCCACCGTTCGACGGGACCTCTCCCTGGTCAGCCTACAAAATCCAGTTCGAGGCCGTTATGAAGGCGAACGGCTGGAATAAAAGTCAGGCCATGACTGCTCTCACACTAGGCCTGCGCGACCAGGCATTAACAATTCTGGAAGCTCTCGGTGAGGAAGTGACTTATGAGCAACTCCTTGAGGTCTTGGAGGCGAGATATGGCAACGTTCACCTGGAACGCGTCTTTAGTGCGCAGCTTAAAGATCGCGTGCAGCGCATCAACGAAAACCTGCAGCAGTGGGCTCTAGAGGTGGAGAAGCTGGTGCGAAAAGCATACCGGTCTGTACCTGCGCTCATTGAAGGGAACCTGGTGCAGACATTCATCGACGGCATCCGCGACCTTGAAGTCAGAGCTGCTGTGAGGCTCGGGCACCACGAGCCGCTTAAGGACGCCTTGGCCCATGCACTGGAGGTAGAAGCCGTGCGGCAGGATCATCGTTCCCATCGCGTCAGGGAGGTTGCAGCAGCTACAGTTCGCGACCGCAACAATGGATACAGCTCTAGGTGCTATGGCTGTGGGGAAAAGAGCCATCTTCGATCCAGCTGCACTAAGCGAACCCTAGAAAGGGAAGGTGAACGATCTCAGGAGTTTAGTACGGCCAACAGCACCGCCCAGCAGCAGGAGGGAAACGAGTAAAAGCCAGAACTGCGGGGCGGGTGCTGGCTAATGTTAAAAGAGCCCCAAGGATCTCGATCTCACAAACCCATGATGGGAACAGTCTAATCATCAAGAACGAAACGAACGAAATGGTCGAGGCGGAGAAGTTGTTACTCAAGTATGCCGATGTATTCTCATCAAACGATACTGACATAGGACAGACTGGCTTAGTTCAATACAAAATAAACACAGGAGAAGAATTGCCTATCCGTCAGCGGCCAAGAAGATTGCCAGTAGCACGTGAAAAGGAAGTAGAAACCATGATTGAAGGAATGGCAAAGTGTTGCGATGGTGTTCACCCGTGGTGCTAGTAAAGAAGAAGGATGGCAGCATGCGGTTTTGTGTTGACTACCGCCGTCTGAACGACGTTACGAAGAAGGACAGCTATCCCTTGCCAAGAATTGATGACACGCTGGACATGCTTACAGGAATAAAATGGTTTAGCACGCTGGATCTAAAAAGTGGCTCCTGGCAAGTTTAAATTGACCCTAAGGACAAGGAGAAAACTGCGTTCTCGACGGGAAAGGGTCTGCGGCAATTTAAAGTAATGCCGTTTGGGTTGTGCAATGCTCCAGCAACGTTTGAAAGGCTGATGGAACTTTTACTTACCGGGCTAATTGGCGATGCCTGTCTGGTCTACTTGGATGACATCATCATCGTAGGTCGTATGTTTGAGGAATACCTTCAAAACCTGGAATGCGTGCTCATGAAGATTCAGAGTGCCAACCTCAAGTTGAGTCCGAAGAAATGTTCACTATTCAAACGGCAAGTTAACTTTTTGGGGTTTGTAGTATCGGAAGAGGGCATCTGCACTGATCCAGATAAAATCGCCGCTGTCAAGTATTGGCCCGTTCCAAAAGACAAGACGCAGGTTAGAGCATTTTTGGGTTTGTGCTCCTATTACCGGCGGTTTGTGAAGAACTTTGCAGATATAGCCAAACCTCTGCATAAGCTAACCGAGGAGAAGCGACTTTTCCGGGGGAGTGAAAGTTGCAATATCGCATTCCAGGAGCTCAAGGACCGTCTGTGCAAAACACCTATTTTGGGATACCCTGATTCAAGCAAAGAATTTATAGTTGACACAGACGCAAGTGATATAGGACTTGGCGGTGTGTTGTCTCAACGGAATGGTGACCAAGAGGTCGTGATAGCGTACTTCAGCAAGTCGTTGTCAAAACCGGAAAGGAACTATTGTGTCACAAGACGCGAATTGCTAGCGGTGGTAAAGTCGTTGCAACATTTTAGCAAATATCTTCTGGGACGAAAATTTCACTTACGAACTGACCATGTTGCACTAAAATGGCTATTGCAGTTTAAAAACCCAGAAGGACAAGTTGCGAGGTAGATTGAACTACTGCAGGAATACGACTTTGAGATCGAACATCGCAGCGGGAAATCTCATGGCAACGCAGATGCATTGACAAGAAGACCTTGTCCTGAAGATTGCAAACATTGTACTAGGCAAGAGAGTAAGGAACTGGTATCCGTGAGGATGCTCAGGGCAGACCACCTCGGCAACGAGTGGAAGGACAGCTTAATACATGCACAGCAGGAAGATCTGGACATCAAGCCGATTCTGGAATGGATAAAGGCCAGTGCTCCCAAGCCCAAGTGGAGTGACGTCTGAGCGATGAGTTCGACCACTAAAAGCTATTGGGCCCAGTGGGACAGCTTGCTGCTTCAAGGATGGAGTTCTGTGTCGTAAATGGGAAAATGTTCGGGGAGACAGCTGTCATTTGCAAATTTTTGTCCCTAAAGTACCGGATGTTCTACAGCTGTACCATAATTATTGTTCAGGAGGCCATCTGGGAGTTAAACGAACTTTACTGAAGATCCGAGAACGGTTTTACTGGGTCCACTGTCGAAACTATGTCGAGGACTGGTGTCGCAAATGTACAAGTTGTGCCGCTGTAAAGGGACCTCAGACTCGTAATAGAGGTGCATTGAAGTTGTACAATGTTGGTGCACCATGGAGAGAATAGCCATTGACGTGGCGGGACCGTTTCCGGAGAGTGAAAGCGGTAACAAGTATTTCATGGTTGTGATGGATTACTTCACTAAGTGGCCAGAAGTCTTCGCCATTCCAAATCAAGAAGCTTCAACAGTTGCGGATAAGCTAGTTCATGAAGTCTTTTGTCGTTTTGGAGTACCTTTAGAGATTCACAGCGATCAAGGAAGGAATTTTGAGTCTCAAATATTCCAGGAAACTTGCCGAGTTATGGGTACTCACAAAACAAGAACGACTTTCGCAATCTGATGGAATGGTAGAACGATTTAATCAGACATTGGAGAGGTACCTAGCAAAAGTTGTAGACAATCGGCAACGAGATTGGGACAAACACATATAACCGTTTTTGTTGTCGTATCGAAGCGCTGTTCACCAAAGTACAGCAGTGACACCAGCTTTCGCAAACTTTGGAAGAGAATTACGGCTGCCTGCAGACCTGATCACCGGGATACCACCTGATACCTCACGCAGTATAACCGATTATGTAAATGACTTGCGGAACAAAATGAATGACATTCATGAGCACGTCAGACAATCGGGCCAGCAAATGTCTGAGAAGATGAAAACCCGGTACGACCGCAAAATGAACAATAAAGGCTTCGACGAAGGTTCACTAGTGTGGTTGCACAATCCAGTCCACAGCAAAGGGAAATCTCCTAAGCTTCAAGGATTGTAACCAGGATCAACGATGTAACCTACCGGATACTGAAAGGCGCAAGAGGGACTCCTAAGATCGTCCATGTGGATCGCCTGGCGCGTTGTTATGGGGCCGATAATGCTCGGGACGAGCATGTCTTAGGAGGGGGCAGTGTTGCGCGGCTAAGTTGACATCTTGCACTAGCGCCATCTAGTGTCGGGTAACAGAGCGAAGAGAGTGCTTTCCAGAAAATGACATCACTAATCTTTCAACCGACAGCGCCATCTAGTATCGAATTGAAGAACTAAGCTTTCTGGAAGCCCCAAACTCGAACTTTCTGCGCTTGGTTGGTTGGCGCGCGTATTTACTCGAATATTCTGGAATATTCTGGATGTTTTCGTGGAAGAGCCCTATATAAAGGCGCTGCAATACGCGATCGGGGAAGTATTGAAGTTGGCGAGGCAAGCGAAGCTTCGGAGCGGAATAAAGTGAATCAGTGTGATTAATTATTAGTGTTTTTAACTTTAATTAGTGTAAAGTGAATTAAAGTGTTAATTTAGGTAATTCT